CGCTCGTTGCCCTGACTTCGCGGTGGTGGGTGGGCCAAAAAGAAACAAAGGAAACGATTTAAAGGGGAAAGAAAAAAAAAGAATCCCGCTGCTGTTTCTGAAGAGTCGCAGTCCGACGTGTGCTGAGGCTGCGAGGAGGTGTACCTGCGGCGGGGGGATCTGCAGCGCGAACGGGCCCGGGGCGGCCGCGGAGGCGACTCCTGACAGGTCAACAACGGTCCCTCTTGCACCGGGGCTCAAGTGGGGCCGGCCCTTGCTAGAGGCGGCCTCTGCCCTCGGCCAGGTCTCTCCTTTGTAATAAAGCAGAGGATAAATGCAGTGCTCCATCTTACAGTGCTTGTGGCTCCGAGGCAGGCTTTCAGTAAGGCCTTCAGCTAGACCAGGTTTGGACACCAGTGTTTATGACCCCTCAGCGTAGGGGATTATTTGGTTTTTAGCTTTCACTGCTCAGCCCTAACAGTGTGAGAATATGTGGGAAAAAAATGAATTCCCATAGTCTTTGTCTCTCTTCCTGTTCCTCATCTCTCCTACTAGTAAGATACGGGGCTTTCCTATCCCCTGTTATTCTAAATACGCTTCATTTTCTTGCAGGCATGGACGCTCATTGCCATTAAAACTGTTGAAATCTCCTAAGTCTGTCAGGATTTTTATTTTCTTGAGTTTGAAACATGCTTATTCTTTACTCTTCCTTGAAAGGGAGCTCAGCTAGGGATCCTCATGCAGGAGGATTCATGGGGGCAGTATTTGGGCTACAGCTGGCAGTTGTGGTAGAATCCATAATTACAACAAAGCACCAGATTTTTTCTAGGTGAATAAGGGTTAGGATTATGCTTTTTCTGAGACTTATTTTGCATACATTTTGATTTTTAAATAATGGTTGTGGTTGATACTAATATAGGTAAATGAAAATGCTAGACAGTGGTAAATGAAAACTTACTTCACCCTTTCCTTTCTACCTGTCCCTCAGTTTGGCTTCTAAGCAGGACTTCCCACACATTTATCTTTAAAAGCACATTTTGCAGAAGAATGACTGGAAGCCGGCCATTCTGGGCAGCTTAAACAACACTGTGATTGTATGTGCTTCATGGCTGCTTATGTTGCAGCGTGTTCAATCGTGCATCAGCATTCCATGCCATGCGTTAATACCAACAGTATTATTAACCTGCAGAAATAATCAAGATTTTAATGTGTGATTCACATTATAATAATTAATGTAAAATCAAGTGAACTGTAGAAACTAAAACTTAAGTAGGATTCCAGGCTGAAATTATGTTCACAGCTGTAGGAATATGAGCAACCTAAATTTAATATAGAAGTTAAAATTTTTAGGCTTTTTTCCACAAATGTAAATGTGTTTGTGATCTCAACTGTAACATTAAAAGGGAGAAAAGAGCAGTGAATAAAGCTTCCTGTAGGCCTAAAACTTAACATGTTCTACTGTGGCCCTTCACAGCATGGCAAATGAAAATTATTTTAATTGTAGATTTTTCAAGCTAAATGCACATCTAAGAGTGGGAAGTAGACTTAGAAGTTATCCATATTGGCATTTTTCACAAAGCAAAGGGTGAGGAGGAGACTGAATTTATTGTGAAAAACCTATGAGAGCTAGGAAAACCTAAATGTCAAGCTAGAAGTATGAGTATACCCCTTGAAATGAAGGGACTGATGTTTTTATGTAGGCATGAGAAATGAGATCGGCATTCGGACAAATATGAATTGAGTGTTGTAGGTACTTCAGGTGTCCTGCATCTCAATGCTGACTTTTTTTTTTTAAAGCAAATAGAAAAGAATCTCAGATGTCAGATTCAACTTCCGAGCTGCTTAAGGCAAATTTTTCTTCTGCTGATGCTGGTGACTTCTGTGTTTTCTCGTCTGTTCTGAAGATGCTAGTTAGCTTGCCACTCTGATATCAATGGGAAGGCTTCATTGGTAGTTGTATCCTTGATCCACAGATTGAGAACCTCTTGTTTCTACAAATACTCTGCATGTAGAACAGTCGAAGGAGTGGGTGGTTGAATTCTGACTTCCCCAAGCTTTTCCTCACATGAAGCCTTTGACGGTGCGGTGAGGGCAGAAGACGTGCCCATTCAGAGGCTAACTGATCCAGCCGAAACACTCTGTGTAGCTTGGCATTCAGGGGTGTTAACAGCTAAAGAGCTGTTCTCCTATGAATACTGTCTTTGGGATAAGGAATAGGTGTGGGTGTTCCGCTGCAGCGGTGGCAGCATGTAGGAAAGAAGGGTCTGTAGATTCAGAGAGGCCTTGTGCATGTCTGCAGTAAGCTGGGAAGGAGCAAGAGCCTGTTCTGCAAAACTGAGATTCATGTGTTTCTTAAACAAAATAGTTCTTGGTAACTGTGGACATCTTACCTAGAAAGACCTTGAACAATAATTGAAATAGAGATGTGTTTTCCAGTATGACGCGTGAGGATAATAATGTAACTTCTGATTGTTAGCCCTGATTATAAAGATACTTTCTTTTTTTAAATAAAAGTACTGACTGTATCAAAATGGGCGCTTCCCTGAGAACCTTTCTAAGCCTTTTTCTTTTTTGATACATGGAAGCATTTTACAAGTTGAAATACATTTCTGACCTAGTTCTGTGTTCTTAGACTTTACTGTGAATACTTGTTTCAGCTCTATGGAGAGCACGGGATCCTACAGATTGGATAATAATGAAATCTTAAAACATGAGCAGTTCTTTCTAGTTGACATAGGAATGAAGGAGTAAATCTATAGTTGCATATTGTTCAATCGGAGTCTGGATGTGTTAGATGAAATGTGATAGTAGCCGTGCTGGTTGAAGAGGCTGTTGCTGTATCTGCTTGCCTCCCAGTCCTGGTGGTGAAATGGTGTGTCTGAATCCTCCCTCATCTGCTTCAAGCAAAATCAGGTGGTTTTTCATCAGGCACTGACCCTGCCAGAAGTGTGTTTTGGGAATGAGTGCAAGAACTGCTCTGCCCCCTCACCAAAAAAAAATTGAGATGTGGGACATTCAATTTCTGTTTGCAGAGCAAGTGTCTGCTTAGAGCCCATCTGGTTAAAAGTTTCATCAATGTCGTGTTATGTGTCTGTGGAGTAAAGAGGCAAATAAAGCTAGAATTCTACAGGATTCAAGAGAGTCAAAGTTAATGGCACAATGTGCCACTGACTGTATCATCACTTGAATATGCTGAAAGTGGTTTTGAAGAGTAGGGTAAAGTTTACAATGGGGAGGGTACTTTTAAACCTATAGCCCATGAACTGGCCCTTCCCCCACCCTAGTCATTTCTGAGCTGCTCACAAGGAAGAAGGCACCCAGAGTTGTGTTACTGGTGAGACAGCCTGCTTCTGCAGACCTCCTTCCCAGCCCAGTCTGGGGACTGAATAAGTACCTGCATATGTGTACTGTACAGCCTGCATATGGTGACTGTGACAGCTCTCTTCTGTCCTGTATGTCCCGGAAATAGTGGCAAGAACTGGCTGTGTGCTACACCCTGGAGTGTATTATGCAGCTTGTCTCTCCAAAAATGTGAGGTACTGCAGCTTTCAAGAAGGAAACATCTGTACTCGGATATCCTGTGTTAAGTACGTTTAAATTCCCACAACGTAACCGCACAATAAGACCTTGCCATTGAGGAAAAAAAACAGACTGAAGAACAATCTCTTCCTACTTAAAAACCACAAAGTGAACAATTTTTCTTGCTGTTGCACAAGCCTGGCATTCTTCTCTCCCACAACTCGGATGGGAAAACAATGTCGGGGTCTCTCTCTTCCTGACTTCATTGAACTGGAAATACCAGGTGGTGTACTTCCTGCAAGAAAAGGAGTACTAATAGCACTTGCTTCTATTTGTGTCAGAAGCTTAAGATACAGAGGTGACATCTCTTATGAGAGCTAATTTCCTGCTCTGAATCAAAATGCAATGTCATAGAGACTAAAGAATCCCTTACAGTAAGACAGTTTTACCTGCTTACTGCTTGAGTACTTAGGCTGAAGTAGTCCATTTGTATCAAGCCAGTGTGTTTTGGTGTCTGCATCTGAAGTTCAAGGCTTTGAAGGAGTTCCCTGTGCCAGCCTTGCAACAAGATGCAAGGGTGTCTATAACTTGAGTTGGCAGTGGATGGAAGTATGGGCAGGAATGTAAATTTTGGTGCCAATTGTTTGCTGAAGTAACCAGCTGTTCTGCAAAACTCTGGGCAGGCTTGGACATGGTTTGCATGCAGCTGTCCTTGCATGAGTGCTCTTCAGGGAGGTCCTCAGGAATCTTTGCTTATGGCCTGAATAATCGGGCCTTTTGTACAGGAGTGAATTTGCTTCTCAAACACCAGCCTGCTTCTCAAATCCATATCTGCCATTGAATTTCTTTCTAGGTTGACACTGGATTCATTCTATGTTGTACTTGATGACATGTATTTTATAGAAATGGCACATTGGTGGTGTTCTAAGATGTTTATGTGCAACTTTCTTTCAGGTGAACGAGTGCTTTGTTTTCATGGACCTCTCCTTTATGAAGCAAAGGTATGTGTGGTTGCTTATTGCTGCAGATGGTTCTGACTGTTCCCCAAGAAAATAAGGAATTGTATTAGTTTACCTGCTGTGCCTCACTAGATAGGATTAAGGACTGAAACTAAAATGAAGAAAAACCTGATAGTGTATGAAATTAATTAGTTTTAAATCGTGGAGCTCCATATTATAGAAAAATTTCAGAAAACCCAATGGTACTATGCAGCTAGTCTGGTATACTACTGAAGGCCGGGTGGTCTTATGTGTTGGACATTTGATACACCTGTGTTCCCAGAGCACTGGAAAGCATTTGTGCTCATAGGACTTGGTGCTAATGCATGAGCTAGTAAGTTAGCTGCAGTTTGAGCTTCCTCAGAGATGTAGGTGGCTGAGTACAATCAATGGTCTTCAAATGGGACGATGCTGCAGAAGATAGTGCTGGATTAAAGTGACAAAGGAAGTGGCATTCTCAGTTCTGGCTCTTTAGCCACAGAAACCATGCATTGCAAATTTGTGACTTGGAGAAGTATCCTTACTGCTTCGGTTGCAGGCCTCTGCTGCAATACTTCCAGTGAAGTGCTTTTCTTGTGGACCTTAAGCAGTTGTCACTGCCATGCCATCTGTTTTATTGAAGGTAATTCCTTCAGTAAGTTCTAATTTGACTGTCTGTTTCCACTTCCTATGAAATTGAACCAAAGGACTTTTGTAGCTGTGTGGATTAGAAGACTTGCAGAAATTCCTGGGGCACCTTAAATAGACTTAAATCCATTAGGTTTTAGTGTCAGGAAATGTTAACTGATGGGACAACTTCAGAGAGGTGGTAGTAGGGAGGCAGCTAGAAAT